ACGTTTCATTTGGTTGCACCAACAGACATTTTGATTTCTATTTTTTTATTTAAATTTTTTTACTCGCAATAAAAACACAATTACAAATAATTGTATTTTAAGCTGGAGTGTGACAGTTTATTAGGCCTGATGAATCTCTATCTTCTCGGATAGTGCTTGATTGTGCTAATATGAGCTGTGATTGGGAGGCTGAATAATATTACAGCAGATGTTGTGCGTTTAATCAAAGTGACCTGCTGGAAATCCATACGTTTACTGAGCAAAGATGCACTCCATGAACAAGAGGGGGAAAAAACATGGCACTTCATATAGAGAAAGCTTTCAGATGATCGTGACATGATAAACAGCAGATATAAATAGCATTCTTAAGTGCATGCAAATATTGGCAAGGGTTCCTGGAAATGACAATGTACAATATATTGTAATTACAGGCCATGTTTTTAGTCATCTGATTTGTGTTAATTAGGTAAGCTTCTTTCATGTAGCTCTTTCTTAAATGCACAACGTCATGCCCGTTACATGAGCTGAACTCGCTTGTTTGTCACAAATGGAATCTGCAGGTTTTCCATTGTGGCACATAAAAGCCTAACGAGGCCCCCCTCTCAGCTTTTGTGCGAGCCGTACAAAAAACACATCCTGCTTTACGTCTGTTCAAGCTGTTCTCATGAATGTCCTCAGCCCAGCTCACATCCTGCATCTGAGAAAGCCGCCGACTTACACCCAACCTGCAGCATGAGACAAATGATATGCACATTCAGATTTAGATCGCATATATCCTTGGTAAATTTCTGCATTAGCGGCTGAGATTTTCTGACATTCTGGGAGCGCCTGAGTCCGTTCTTTGAGTTCCACTTAGACGTCTTCGCCTGGGCGAGCTTTTATGCTGTTTGAAAGGAAATAAGAGGCTCTCAGCATCTACAAGTGCCTTAACTAGAGCGGCCTTCCTCCAGTCCTGCTGCACTCAGCTGGGGTTTGTGGGACGTGACCAAGGCTAAAACTAATGTGCTTCAGCATCGCAGTCGTTTTTGACGTTTCTTTAAAAACAAGAAAAATACCCTGCTTTTAGATTCCCGTCGTTCGGGGAATTGCAGAAGGCTGCTTTAGAGGATATCGTTGCTTATTATAATCAGGCGCTACTCATAGATCCGGCTGTATAGTGTTTTATATATGCATGACATTTCCTGACACTTTTACAGCGTAGCCATGCAATCGCATGAGTATTGTGGAAATAGTTTTCAAATACAGAAAACGGAAAGCACTGTATGACTCAAACCAACATGAATTCAAAACTGGCGGTTTCTGGCAGCCATTGACTGTCATAGCATGGAAAAAACATACGTGGCTATCAGCAACTTGCTAGAGGTTTATTCTTTAAAATGTCTTTATTTATGTTCAGCAGAAGAATGGAAATCACACAGGTTTGGAACGACATGACGGTGAGGAATTATTGAGAACACTTAATTTACTTTTTTTTTTTTTGGGAAATGTTTTGTTTGGATGTGTGAAATATGAAGAGGAAGAACAGAAAACTTGGTTTTGAACATACATTTTCAAAGCATAAACCAACTGTATGTTTTTGCTTGCTGACTGCATTGCTTTGAGACTATTTCCAATTCACTCGATAAACAAAATGCAAAAATTATTCATATTTGCAAGTCCTTCAAACTTTCCCTGTGATATTTTATTTACTGTGTCTATTTATTCACCCCTGTCTCTTTTTTCCTTTTTTTTCTTCTTGTGTTGTAACTGCACTTTCATTATTTATATGCTGTTCTCAGTGAAAACAGATTAAAACTAAACTAAACTAAACAAAACTATACTGTATACAATAAACCAAAATAATCTGAATAATCTGAATTTAAAATGATGGAAATATTCATTTCTGCCAGTTATTTATACACGGTATCACAACTTAAATGCGAAGCAAACTGTAAAAGCCGCTCGATGCAGACTAGCTCTCCGCTCACTGACCTCTATACAGATTATATATTTGCCCCCGGTTTCATAGACAAGGCTTAAGGCTAGTCCCAGACTAAGATGCATGTTTGAGCTGTCTCAACTAAATATCTTAAAATATGTCAGTGCCATTGATCTGTCTCAAGATGCACACCAGTAACGTTTTCTTCTAAGGCATTTTTATAAAAGCTGCTTATCTTAATTTAACTAAGGCCTAGTCCTGGTTTAAGCTAAGCCCCGTCTGTGAAACCGGGCCATATTATGTTATGTAGCTTACATTATAGATAAAAGTTTCTGCCATGTCTCAAATAGAAACGTCACAACTCATCGATCATCTGGAATTCAGAGTAAATACAGTTTCACTCAGAAGAGCACAACATTTCTCTTTCATAGACATCATCAGACTCTATTTAGGGGGGCTTCATGTATTTCATCTCCCCCTAAATGTCTCCACTCTGAACTCTAAAAATTGATTACGCTACATGCTGACGTTTACATTTTACAGGATTTGTTTGTCTTCACGTCTCGTTTGCTGATGGTAATTATCTAGTAAATGAAAGTGCAATAAAAATGCACATTTATAAATTGTTTGGGTCGACTCTTACTCATTTGCAACTGTGTGTTCAGAACAAACTGATGAAGAGTAAGGTCCTCTCTATTTCTTATAGCACGTCTGGCAGTGTATCACACGCGAAGCTGAAGCAGTTTAGCTGTAGAAGAGAGCGAGTGTGTGTGTGTGTGTGTGTGTGTGTGTGTGTGAGAGAGAGAGAG